GTGTTCGCGCAAGGGAAAGCCAGGCCACGTCTCGAACGGGATCCTCGATCTCGCCAAGCATGCCGTCATGCATCTGTGCGCCGTTCAACGTCGAGGGCTGCATCGGCATGCTGCGCCATCAGAAACCAAAATGTACGAGTGGCGCAATAGTGACCTTCGACGTGTCTGCCTCTTCCACCGAGAAAGAATTCCTCAAAACCATATCGGTACTGTTAGATACGTATGAAGCTATTCCCTGTCCATGGAAACGGCGGGTGCGTTTGCTGCCCTTGCTGCGACCGTGACATCTGCGATGCCGTCTGAATCTCTGAACTCGCTTTCCCCCAGTGTCGCCTCCGGAGGCGCGTAGCATGACCATGGCCTAAGTATAAGCATCGGGCATTTGTTTGTCGATGGCTGGTAGGTCGGACCAGACCATGTCATCCATGCCCTCACATGATCAGAGGGCGAGTCATGTCGTTGGTCCGCTGAGACCCGCAAGGCTGTTGCAAGGGATGGCGCGCCGCTCGCTGCAGCGGTGGCCAACCATTTTGCACTTGAATCAGCCGATTGTGCCTTGAACGTCGCTTGGCCTAGCACTGTCGTAGGTTCGCTTGGCTCGTGCTCGCTCCAAATGTTGCCCGAGGCCGCCGGCGGCAGGTCGCTGTCGTCAGCATGGAAGCCCCTGTGCCGATCTACGACTGAAGGCCCCCCCGATCCTCCCATAGTTCAGTGCCCACAGCTGCGCATCCTTCCCAGTGGACAATCGCGCTGCTGCTTCGCTCGGGACATACGATTGGCAGGGGGCTGCAGTAGCTGGGATGAGCGCGAGGGGCCGATTCCCAGGGCTCGGAACAAAACTAGAAACGTCAGGACCTGGAAATTTGGGAAGTTTAGTTCCCAACTATCTTGTGGTGTTGGGTCCTCGTTTTGAAGAGACGGCGCCCCGCGTTAATCTCCTCCGGCCTCCCTCATCCCCCACCTCCCTCCTCCCATCATCACCATCAGCAGCAGCATCGTCGTCATCATCATCATCATCACCATCACCATAACCATCACCATCACCATCACCATCACCACCACCACCACCACCACCACCATCATCATCATCATCATCATCATCATCATCATCATCATGAGCAGCATCATCATCACCACCATACGCCCATTACAGCGTTTGGTGGCCCCATAGGGAGCTCCACCCAAAGCCCCAACAGGGGAGGCCACATGCGTCCGCCACTCCCCATACAGCGTTTCGTGGCCCTATAGGGAGCTCCACGTACGACCCTACTAATGGGGGTGGCCACATGCGTCCGGCTTCGTGGCCCCACAGGGAACGCCACCCAAGGCCCCAGTGGGGGTGGCCGCATGCGTCCGCCACACCCAGTACAGCGCTTCGTGGTCCCATGGGAGCTCCACGTAAGACCCCAGTGGGAGTGGCCGCATGCGTCCGCCACACCCAATACAGCGTTTCGTCGCGCCGTAGGGAGCTCCACCCAAGGCCCCAGTGGGGGTGGCCACATGCGTCCGCCACACCCAGTACAGCGCTTCGTGACCCCATAGGGAACGCCACCCAAGGCCCCAACGGGGGTGGCCACATGCGTCCGCCACACCCAGTACAGCGCTTCGTGACCCCATAGTTGGCTCCACGTATGGCCCCATTGGGGGTGGCCACATGCGCCCGCCACACCCAGTGCAGCGCTTCGTGACCCCATAGAAGGCTCCACCCAAGGCCCCAGTGGGGGTGGCCATAGGCGCCCGCAGCACCAAGTACAGCGCTTCGTGGCCCCATAGGGAACTCCATCCAAGTCTCCAATGGGGGTGGCCACATGCGTCCACCCCTCCCAGTACAGCGCTTCGTGACCCCATAGTGGGCTCCACGTAAGGCCCCAGTGGGGGTGGCCACATGCGTCCGCCACACCCAATACAGCGTTTCGTGACCCATAGTGGTCTCCACGTAAGGCCCCAGTGGGGGTGGCCACATGCGTCCGCCACACCCAGAACAACGCTTCGTGGCAGGGAGCTCCACAGAAAGACCCCAGTGGCACCGCCCGCATGCGCCGTCCACCACCCAACACTGCACTTCGCGGCCCCATTGATTGGTAACTCCACCGAACCCCAGAAACACCGCCCGCATGCGCACCCCCCCCACCCGGTACAGCGTCTCTTGGCCCCGTAGGGAGCTCCAGCTTCCAGCCCGCATGCGTTCCCCACCCAGTCCAGCGCTTCGTGGGCCCATAGAAAGCTCCACCGAAGGCCCCAGTGGTACCGCCCGCATGCGTCCCCCCCTTCCGTGGCCCCGCAGGGAGCTCCACAAAAAGACCCCAGCGGCACCGCCCGCATGCGCTTCCCCCAACCAGTACAGCGTTTCGTGGCCTCATCGGGAGCTCCAGCGAGGGGAACCGCCCGCATGCGTCAGCCACACCTAAGACAGCGTTTCGTGGCCCACAGGGAGCCCCACCGAAGGCACCCCACCTCCATTACGGCACGTCCCTCGCGCGTTTCGTGGCCCCATCGGGAGCTCCACCGAAAGCGGCACTCACAACGCGTTACTCACAACTGCAGATGTTTGCGTCCTTCGCCGGAATATGTTTTTAATGAGCCAGCCTCCAGTCGATGCGTTCGCCCCGGTCGGCTCTGAAGTCGACGAGGGCTGTGCCCGAGGTGGGCTGTCGCTCGTCCTCGAGATTCTCGAACTTGGTACTGGGGAGGAACGTGATCTGCTTAAGTCCGTCGATACGTTGGCCTTGTGGAGTCGTTTCATAGCTGATGATTGCGGATCTCCTCCCTCCTCCCTCCTCCCTCCTCCCTCCTCCCTCCTCCTCCCTCCTCCTCCCTCCTCCTCCCTCCTCCTTCCCTCCTGCACTCGCGTCGCCAGGGTCCTGGCTAGGCCGCCGAGGCCCCGCGGCAGGGCGGCGGCCTGTGGTGGTGGAGTCATAGAGCCACTGCTTATGTTCGGCCATCCGTGGACTTCGCGAACGAACCAGCGGTTGGAAACGTTGCCCGCAGGTTCCCTGAAGGGGCCCATGGTACGTGGTTCGTCCACTCCTAACCGATGCATGTATCCGATCGCTGGACCAAGACACACCCGTATGATACCGATCACGATGATCTTGATATAATGCATGGTGATATCTGTGCAGGTGATGTCGTGGTCGTCATGTTGGTGGGCTGATGTGTCCGTCAGCCCCTTTTGGTGGGCTGGCGTGGCCGTCGCCCTTCGGATCGGTTTTGGAGACGTGTTGGTATTTTGCGGCTTTCCGCGCTGTGGGGAGATGAAGTGGGTTGTAGACTTACCCATTGGTTAGTGGAGGCTGAGACGGTAGAGTGGCATAGCCGTGGCATTCACGCGCAAGCCGACGTGGCCGTCGGTAGATGTGATGTCACGTGTAGGCCAATTTCCTTGCTCTGATCGCCGAAGGGAAGCCGGCGCAGTAGGATGTAACACCAGAAAAGAAGTGTTAGGGTGAGAACCGCGGAAGACTGGCATCAGGGTGAAAGCCAGCCACGCGGAGATGAGGCCAACTCAGCCGTGCCATGCGTTACGCCTTTAGCAAGTCGCCCAGGACTTGTCCATACTGTAGGTATGAGTGGGACTCATGCGCGTGGCTCGCATCTCTCATGTGACTTCCGTTCAAAGCAGAGGTGCCCAGGAGGCCCGAAGAGGACCCCAGGAGGCCCCAAGAAGCCCCAAAGAGTCCCCCATTAAACTAAGAGGCGCCACGAGTTCCCCCAGAGGCGCCAAAGATGATCCAAGAGGCCTCGATACGAAGGTTTGAATCACGGATGTTACCAAGTAGACGGTTTGGGAAACACTTTGGCCTCCTGGGGGGGACCCTCATGTAGTACGGCCCCTCCCGTGATCAACCTCCTCCAAGAGGGCCCGAAGATGGCCCCCGAGGCACCCAAGGGTGCCCCAAGACGGCCCCGAGAGGTTCCCAGGAGGCCCCGAAAGGCCCCCAAGAGGCCCCCAGACTGCCCCCAAGAAGCTCCCAAGAGATCCACAAGAACCCGTCAAAAGCTCCACCTGGGACTGACAAGAGACCCCAAGACACCGCAAGAAGACTCCAAAAAAGCTCTCGGAAGAAATCCGAAGAGACTTCGAGTGGCATCCAAAAGGCTTCTGGCCTTTCTGCTCGCCCTCCTGTTCCTCCTCCTCCTCTTTTTCCTCCTCCTCCTCCTCCTCATCATCACCATCACCATCACCATCAGCATCAGCATCAGCATCAGCATCAGCATCAGCATCAGCATCAGCATCATCATCATCAACATCATCATCACCATCCGTCTATTGATCCTCTTTCTTCCTCCCTCCTCACCTTCCCTCCTTCCTGCTACTCCGCCTCCTCCTCTCCTTCTGCGATTCCTCCTCCATCCTCTCCTTCTTGGGGTACGACGTCTTACCATTACACTGCATGCTCTTTCACATCCCCGATCAGGGCAACTCCTCTGGGCATCGTTCCTGGACGGGCTGGTGGGGTTACGCGAGACGTCTAGAATTGGTTCCCAAGCGGCTCCAAGGCGGGCGATGTCTCCCAACACCAACTTTGTTAGAGATGCTCGCGCTGTATATCTCTGGGTCCCGCCAGACTTTCCACTCTGCGGGGTCGCTCACTGATGTTCACAAGGTCCTCTGGTCGGGACGAATGTTCTCGCCACCTCTGACCTCCTTTCCTCCTTCTGCTTGCGATACTCCTCCACCGCCTCCTCCGCCTCTTGCCACTCCTCGCATCTCTTTCTGCTCCTTTCTCCACCCCTCACATCTGCAACGTCTAGAGAATCGCATCGCCCTTTTCTCGGCAGAACGATTGGGAATAGCTTGGTCGGCCATTCTATCCCTACCATCCCAACCCATCACAGGCGCATGCTCTCCTCATCCACCACATCCTTCGCGCATCACCCTGGCACTCCTGTTCTTCCCGTTCGCACTGCGCAGCGGAAACACGAGTTTGAACCCCTGTAGTCGCGACGACTACACTCCAGCTCGAGCCAGAGCTTCTCTCGCGTATCGACAACGTAGATCACCAAAGTGCTTGCAATAAACATTGCGCTCTCTCAGCGGTGCCATCATCGTACACAAATGTCTCGGCACAATGTCTGAGAAGAGCAGGGACTCCCGCGCCGATGAGCTCAGATCTTGCGCAGCGCAAGCGCTGGACGACAGTTTCTAATATGCCTACAATGACATCGACAAAGAAGTCACACATCCGATTTTCGTCGCTCAAGAAGCTGACGATGGTTGTGACAAGACCATGCCTCATTGCAACAGGAGCCGCCGACGGCGAACATTTTAGCATGTACTCCAAACTTAGTAACAAATTCTGGTCTCCAATCTCGCTCGATGCGAACATCTTCAACACAGACTCGATGCAACCGGCCCGCACAGCCATTGCAGCATGATTGTGGTCATCGTCGGCTTGCAGAATGCACACTAATGCATCAGTTGCTTCTCTACGCACTCCTGCACACTCATCGCTTAAGAGCGTGAAAATGTAGGGAAATATACTGCTGACCTCCGAAAACGCCACACTCTGCTTGGCGTGATTACACTCTAAGCTGCCGCAGTGGACTGTCAGCGAGGCAATAGCTTGGCGGCAAGCGCGGGGTGGAAGTGAGAAGGGGCGGGCCATGGCTCGAAAGTCCCCCAGCCGTCTGAGTAGTGTTCAACGCCTTCCCCGACGACACAGAGCACTTCTGAGAAGGCGCGACGGCTTCTGAGAAGTCCTGCCGCCTTCCGAGAAAGCCTTCTCCTTCTGCCTTCCCCCCCTCGCTCGCCGCAGAATAGCCTCGAGAGCCTCGTACTTGTGAGGACAGCTGTTCTCACGCAGCAGGCTCTCCAGGTAGGGCACCGCCCCGGCGAGAACCACATCAACTGCGAAGCCGTCGACGTTCGCAGAATACGCTGCAACGAGCAGGGCCCCTTTGCCCTGAACGTCGAGAGAACCTGTGCCACGAAAATATGTGCACGGACACCCGTCGACGAATTGTGCATGTACCTTCAGGGAGGGGCCGGTGTGTAAAGTCGCTGGCTCTCAGTGGTGATTTGTACACCGCCACCCTTCCCTGAAGCCCAGGATCAATCCAATGGAGGGTGTCTGTGCATATTTCGGGGAGACGTGAGACCCGGGTACGGGGGACTCGGAAATCCCCGACGAGGTCGTCAAAAAAATGACGAGGCCGAGCCTGCATTTTGACGAGGCCTCCCGCTGCAGACATCCCACGAAACTCCTCCTCGTCAAAATCCGAGTCGCGGTCGTCAAAAAACGATGGCGAACCCGAGTCCCGGCAAACCCGGGTCTTACGCTCCCCCGAATATTGGGGAAATCAAAAGGCACCGATACCGCTACTCCCCAGACCTCTCCCGGGGTGCGTTCTGAGAAGAATCTCGAGGCGAATCCAGCGGTGTCGACGAGGGCCGCCCCGAAGGCCCCAAAAAGGGGGAGAGCCAGCGAAGGGTAGATAGGGGGAAAACAAACCTACCTCGCTTTTGATACCAAACGATGCCAAATTGCAGCCTGTACTGGTCAGGCCGCTTGACGAGGAGGCGCGTGGTATGGCTTGGTTTTGCCTGGAAGCGAAAGCGGGGTAGGTAATTCACGCTCTGAGTAGAGGTATGGATACCTCTGCCTCCTCTGATACATGTTTTGTGGCGGGGGACCTTCCCTGAGCAACGCAATCGCAAGCTCAACAGCATCAGAAACATGATCCGACGCCGTGCCTGTAACACGCCGGGGCGTGTCAGAACAAGGGCCGGCACGGGAACGGAAAGAGCGGCTCCGTGGAGCCTCCCCGCGAGAGGGAGGTCAAGGCTCATCGGTCCGATTCGATGTAGATGGATTCCGATTCGATACCCCAATTCAATTCGACTTCGATGGATGCCGATAGGATTCGATTCGATGTCGATTTCCATTTTGATTCGATTCAAATTTCGATTCGATCCTCCAACTCGATTCGATTTGACTTCGATGGATGCCGATGTGGATTCGACTCGGCTTCGGCTTCCGATCTGGGCCACTACCTCTCAAAACGGAGGCTGCACCAGCCTGCCTGTCTCCGCCGATCCGCTTCGCTTCGATCCCTGGTCCGACTCAGCTTAAGGGGCCCAGGGAAGCACAAACAATTCGTTTTGATTCGCGGGTCGAGAGCGCACCTCTTCCGGTCAAAGCTAAGCGGGCCGCGCACAGCTTGAATTAACAAAGAGGGGGGGAACACGAACAAATAGACACAAATCCCAAGATCCCCAATATTTCCGCACATCTTCTGGGTCTCCCTCTTCCCCCCAATATTTTTTCGATTTGCCGGGGAATCGACGATCAAGTGTGTCTGAGTGTTTTCCCCCTCCTGATTAGCGTCTCGACTCTGGGCTTCCTGGAGGTGCAGGTCTGCTGGCTGCAGATCTCAGGTCGGCGGCGTCCCCACTGGATAGTGCAGAGACGAGGCCGTGAGGGGGCCCCAGGTTGAATTTACAGCAGAGGCCCGACCAAAAGAAACCTTCCACCAGAGACCCAACCCTGAGACCCC